ACAAGAGTGGGTTAAAAAGATATTATCACTTGAAATTTCTTCTAGATTTTTATTTCCAGAAATTTGGAAAACTAGAACGTAAATTTGGTAAAATGTATTTTTAAGCATAAAACCATATATTTAAGAAGACAATTTCTAAATATCATTTCTTCAATTTCTTATTGGAAGCATTTAGTCCTTTCACAGTCGATGTCTGTACTTGGTTATATTCATGCTTTTTGAAAGCCTATGCTGTGAATATTTGGCATATTTAGTCACTTTTCGAAACTTATGGACCATTTAATAGTGCATAAATGAAAAGTGTGCAGATAAACTTTTAAATGATCTCTTCATTCCAGATTCCATCACTCTCTAGGTAACAGAAGACCAAAATAGAAATTGACAGATATGGGCTGTGGTACTTGTCTTTTTGATACTGACCCAGGTTCTTTGCCTTACATTGAACTGACAGGAGACCAACATGTAAGCTAAGGTTTACTGGGGGCTTATGTTCCCACATCACGGAGACAGCATGGCACGGAGTCCCTAGTAGGAACTGAACAGAGCTTTTGTTGGGCTGGGGAGAAATGACTGTGCCAGTTCAGTCTCTGGTTTGTCTCCTTCATACAGCACTTTGATTTGAACTCAGCTCCAAGTTCCCTGTAGGTGTGGATGCTTCTTTTGCACATAGCACTTTATTTTTATTTTATTCTTTCAAGTTTTTATTTTTCATGATGCAGTTCCATTGGCTCAGTGATTTCCCCTGTTTCTCCCCCATTCTTCCTCACTCTGACTTTTTTTTCTCTATATAATTACAGTAGTATAGTCCTTCAGCGACAATCACAGATTCTGCTACCATCTTTTCTCTGGGAGTAGAGATGTATATTGTAATGTATTTTCACTTCTTCATGTCTTCACAGATTGCATATGAATCACACAAGGCTATTGTGGACATATATGCAGGTTGAGGAAGTCAGTAAAGGGACAGTAGGGAGTCTTTTGTGGTATAAATGCCCATGATTGGTATGGAGCTGGAGATAGATAGATAGCTGACAGGTCTGGAAGGGCAGAGTGTGCTTTGTTTCTATGCTGTCTCATTCACAGTGCCTTCCCACTTCCATAAAATCACATCTACTTGTGCCTGGCATGATAGCATAGCAGCTAGTCCTTGCCTTGAATGTGCCAGGATCCCACATGGGTACCAGTTCTAATCCCGGCAGCTCCACTTCCCATCCAGCTCCCTCCCAGTGGCCTGGGAAAGCAGTCGAGGACAGCCCAAAGCTTTGGGACCCTGCACCCATGTGGGAGACCTGGAAGAGGCTCTTGGCTCCTGGTTTCGGATTGGCTCAGTTCCAGCGTTGCGGTCATTTGGGGAGTGAGCCATCGATGGAAGATCTTCCTCTCTGCCTCTCCTTGTATCTGTGTATCTGCCTTTCCAATAAAAATAAATAAATCTTAAAAAGAAAAATACATCTACTTTATGAGAAGTACCCTGAAATTGGTAAGAAAGAGGAAAATGGACTGGAAGGAAAGTCAGTAAACACTGAGGGCAAAGTGTGATCATACAGGCCAAATATCTTGAGTTGGGCCATATACTCCTGGATGTCATATATTGAAGGCTGGGCTTTATCGTCCTATTTAATAAATTAGCTGCGTACTGAGTTGAGGCTCAGGGCAGTCTGACTTACCATTAGCTCACGTTGCTCCAAGAGGAGTCAGAGATGCTGTGACTTAGTGGAATGGACATAGATGAACGTATTGTGACAAAGCCTTCAGGTCTTAGCTGTGTATGAACTAATTAACATATGGATTTCTTCCAACATACTTTAGCTCTTGATTTTGGAACACTTGTTGCTGTAGTCTGGAGTGTTTAATATTCTGTAGATCTCTGAGAAAGCAGTCTCTAAACAAAGCAATCCTTTCAATTCAGTTTTAGTGGAAAATGTGATGGTTCTAGACCTCATGTTGTAACAGAAAAAAAAATGATTTCGCCTTATAAACACTCTTTCTGCTCTGCCTTGCACATCACATGCCTTCCACTGGCATAGATGACCAATTATATGTTAAATTTTCTCAAGATTGGAGTAAAGAGAGACTATGTATTCGACTGTACTGGACTATATATAGGAGTATGATATATATATAAACACAGCTACGTTATTTAGATGACACATTTTCAAGATTTATCTATTTAGAGGCAGACTTACAGAGGAGATGGGGAGACACATAGAAAAAAGAAGTCTTCCATTCACTGGTTCACTTCCCAAGCAGCCCAGTGGCAGAGGCTGAATCATGCTGAAACCAGGAGCCAGGAGTTTCTTTTCGGTCTTTCATGTGGGTGCAGAGGCCCAAGTTCTTGAGCCCTCTTCTGCTGCTTTCCCAGGTGCATGAGAAGGGGCTGGATTGGAATTCGAGCAACTGGAAGTTGAATCATCACTCATATGAAATGCTGGCACTGCAGGCAGTAGCTTTACCCAGTATACCACAAAACTGGCTCCCTATGTAATATAGTTTAAATGACAAAGTAGTGGCACATTAGAAAACAGTAATCAATACAGTTAATTGTATTGTAGCCATTGGGATTATATACATTTAAAAATTAAAGGCAAGTTTTCATTAAAAACATCATATACATATATAACTGATTTTTCTAAATAATCTGGAGGAAGAAAACAGTGTTGAAGGAGGAAGGAAAAATGCTGTTTAAAAATGCTTGGTTGGGGAGCAAAGGGGACAACCCTAGCTGGGCTGAGGTTCCCACCAAGAGGCGCGTGGCCTGGAAGGGGGCTGCGTTCTGATCTGGATACAGTTGCAGTCTCCCTTGGCACAAGTGTGGACTGGGATTGGATGCACCGAACTGGGCCAGACCCCGACTCCCCCTGGTGTTCTGGAGGACCAGGGCAGATGTGGGATGGACTAGGCAGGGTCTCAAACCCCTACTGAGCCATGTGTGAGCCATACGTGGGTATGGACAAACCATGGCTGGGCTGGAACATCCAACAGCAAGAACCAGATTGGGTTGAAGGCCAGTCAGGAAAAGCCACAGTTCCTGCTATGACAGGAGGTGGACTGAGTAGGGTTGGCTCATGGACCCACTGGTAAGCGTGAAACCTGGCATTGGGAGAGGTTCTGATGGAGGAGCCTGGGCAACTCCTCTGGCAGGACACAGACCCAGCAGGTAAACGCAAGAAACATGATAGGAAACAGCCCAGAAAAGGCCATGGAAACCTACCCACTGGCATACAGTTGGCAGACGTGGGGGCAAGACCAGGCTGAATCTGTCCACATCATCCACTGGCAAATCCAGGCACCAGTGTGGGTCGACCCAGGGTCGGTCGCAACAAAGACTAGTGCACATTATGGAATGCCGAGGTGAGGTTGCCTGTACCAGAAGGGACCGCAGCGCCCAACCAGCCTGAGAACAAGCAAGGAAGTGGGCAGAGCTGGCAGGGGAATAAGGGAGGGTTCCTTTGCTGGACAGCTACTTCCGCAGGAGAGCATGCGCTGGGATGGGGGCAGACCAGACTAGGCAGAGCTACCACACCTGTGCGCCTCATGTGGACTAGATCAGGGAAAAGCCAGGCTGGGCGGATTATTCCTACTGGTGCAAACAAAATTAAAGTGGGCGAGGTTTGTTTGGGCAGCATCAACTGGAATCTGGGAGTGGGAGAGGCCTGGGAGGGAAATAGTGGGCTCATCCCTCTTGGGTTACCACTTCCACGGGAGGACATAAAACTAAGACAGCGGCTGGGGTGGAATGGGATGTGGGACAGACTGGATTACTGCTACACTTACTGGCAAACCAGGGTAGGGGGTGGGCCTGGTTGGGGTTATTGTGGGTCGCTCCAACCTAGGCTACAGCTCCCGCTGGTTTATGTGAGGGCCAAGTATGTGCTGGGCAGAACCAGACTGGACTGCAACACCCATTGGCTCCAGTGGAAGACGGGAGTGAAAACAGAACCAACCCAGCAATTGCAACCACCAGCTGATTGGAGCGATGGACGGTGCCAGGCCCTGTACTTGTTAGCACATACAAGAAGTTTCTTTGGAGATCTTCCTAATCTAAAAGCTGGAGTCAGAACCATAACAAAGAAAAGAGAGAAGACAGAACGGGTCAACCAACCATCTAAGCTATGATGGACTATGTCAATCAGTGGATTTTTCAAAGACCTCATAGTGCTTGGAGCGGCAAGATTGAGAGCGATTCATAACTGTTGCAATATCAAAACCACTTGAGCAAGAACCTCAGAGCATGCCCTACACCCGGGACTTGGGGAGGGTGGGAAATTGGGTGGGCCTTCTCCCTTAATACCCCCCTTTTAAACATGAAGGTAACAATATGGAAAACATATTAGTATTATCCACTTTCCTGTAGCCCTTGAACCTTCTTACCCTAATTAACTATGTAAAGAATGTCAAAATAAAATTTATTAATTAAAAAAAATGCTTGAAGTTGAGCATTTGGATCAAAATGAATTATCAGCAACAAAATGAAGACTATTACTTTCAAGTTTGTTGAAATGATCTATCTGTACACTTACGTATGTATTTATCCTAACTTATTTGTATTCTTAAAAAGGCTTACTTACTTTAAAGGCAAAGACACAGAGAGGGATAAAGAAGAGAGAGAGGAAATTTTCATATGCTGGATTACTTTCCAAAAAATGAAGTCGGAGCCAGGCCAAATCCAGGAGCCTGGAGCTCCATCCAGGTCTCCTGGTCTCCCGCATGTGTGGCAGGGTTCCAGACACTTCAGCTTCTTGTGTTGTCTTCCAGGGGCATCACAGGAGTCTGGATCTGAAGTTTAGCAGCTGAGACTCAATCTAGTAATCACTGATAGGATGTTTGGGTTTCATGCTGCTGTTTTACCAGCCCCATTTCTTCTTTACTTAATTTTGTATTAATTCTAGATTAAAAAAGTTTTAGAATAAGTGGATTAAAAATAAAAATCATCCAAAGATATTTACTTTGTAGGTTTGCGATGAGAACAGAAGAAAATACTATTGTTTCTTGTCCTTTAGGTACACAAAGATGAAGACTGCAACCAACATTTACATATTTAACCTGGCATTGGCAGATGCTTTGGTTACTACGACTATGCCCTTTCAGAGCACAGTCTATTTGATGAATTCCTGGCCATTTGGGGATGTGCTGTGCAAGATAGTAATTTCCATTGATTACTACAACATGTTCACCAGCATATTCACCTTGACGATGATGAGCGTGGACCGCTACATTGCCGTGTGTCACCCCGTTAAGGCTTTAGACTTCCGCACACCTCTGAAGGCCAAGATCATCAATATTTGCATTTGGCTCCTGTCATCATCTGTTGGTATATCTGCAATAGTTCTCGGAGGTACCAAAGTCAGAGAAGGTAAGAGTACTTATCTTCACCCAATTTACAAAAATGTGATTTCTGAGCCTGGTGTGGTAGACTAGTGGCTAGAGTATTCCCCTTGCAGGCACTGAGATCCCATATGGGCACTGGGAAAGAAGTCAAAGACAGCTCAAAGCTTTGGGACACTGCACCCACATGGGGGACCTGAAGGAAGCTCCTGGCACCTAGCTTTGGATCAGCTCATCTCTGATAGTCATTGTGGCCACTAGGGGAGTGAACCAGCAGACAGATCTTCTTCTCTGTCTCTACTTTTTTCTGTATATCTGTCTTTCCGATAAAACTAAATAATTAAAAAAAAAAAACCCATGATTTCTAACTGCACAAACTTTAGATAGTAGTAAGCAGAGTACATCTTAGGAAAAATCCCAAAGACAGGCATATATATATATGAATATAAGGACACTTCAAAGGAGCCATTCTATTTTGGATGTATTCATTCTTGCCCCATGGAAATAGGACTCTGGGCTGCACATTTGAATGCCCTTGGCACCTTAGAACACGGCTACTTCAGTCCAAATGCTCTGGTTTAATTGGTGTGGCCTAGATGTCAAGATGTTTAATATGTCACCAGGTGATTCCGGCCTATAGCCAATGTAAGAAATATTGTTCCAAGAGTTACTTTACTAGTAAGAGAAAACTATGGCAGTATCTTATAGGAATTCACTTGGTGCGGGGTGGTGGGGGGCATTATAATAATCACTTTGTGCTATATAAATGTTATTTGCAGTTCCAGGAGTCTAGATTTGTGATTCTTGTGATTGATGAAATTTGAATATGTATAATGAGGACTTTCCAGGTTCTGGCATTTAAATTACAGCTTATTTTGTATGGTGCTTGTTTTATAAGACTCAAATTTTTAGAACACCTTTAAGATTCATAGCAAATCTGGGCACAAAGAGTACCATGCCTTCACACATACACGTTTTCCCTAGTTAATAGCATGTCTCACCAGAGTAGAACATTGATAACCACTGCTGAACAGTGTTAACACATCATTACCAACCAGAGTTCATAGTTAGGTTAGGATTCATTTCTGGGGCTATATATTCTATGACATGTATCTTTTTCCTTAAAATGTTTGTTTGTATATTTATTTATTTAAAAAACAGAGAGACAGAGACAAAGAACTCCCATGTACTGGCTCACACCACAAAAGCCTCCTGCAAATATATCTGCAGCATATTAAAGCCAGTATCCAGGACCTCTTTCCAGGTCTCCCAGTTGCTTGGCAGGAAACCAACTATGCAAACCTTCATCTGCTGCCTCCAAGGATGTGCTGGGAGTCGGACCACTTGGGACTCAAACCCAGATGCTCTAAGGCAGGATGCAGGAGTCCCAAGCAGCACCATGGCTGCCAGATTGAATGCAATTTTTGTCTTAAATTTTATCTTTCTTTTGTAATGAAGAATGATGTGTGTCTTTTGAAATGATAAATGAGTTTCTATCAAAACCATAGCATGTGGGAATATAAAATACTTGATAAATTTTAAGAAGCCTCCAACTTTGCCTATTAGATAAGCATTTTAAAGTGACTAATTACATGAAGAATTTTTTTCCTTATGCCAATGTAACTTGAAAATAAATTGCTGGAAACTCTTCTAAGGCCAAGATGTTTGTGTGCAAGAATTGCAGTTAAAGGAAAGACACTGCATTTCCACAGTGGACATGAGGAGATAGACTAAAGGATAATAGGAGATGGATGGTTGTCCCAGTGTAAACAAAGAGCTAACTTTTATATTTCACATTTCACTTGTAGCCTGAATCACTACATTCCTTGCAATCATTGTCAGAAAAATGACATGTTAGAATAAGCAGATTTCAATCAGGCTTTTGAAAGAGGAAATGAAGATAGATGTGGCTTTGCCAGGAAGGAGTTGTTAGGGATAAATGTGCACAGATGCAATGGAAGAAAAGATTCACCCATTTTGGAAGATTAATTTGTGCAGCAAAACAGAGAAGAAAATAGCAGAAAATTAAAGTAGATTTATTTTCCTTTGCAAATATTGCACTCCAGTGTTGCTGATCACTGTTCTACCCATGTGGAAGGATAAGGGCAGGGAGAGGTCAACCTGCTTTGTACTCGCTGATTGCTCAGGAGCAAGCAGAAGTGTGTATTGCCTGGTTCTTGGTGACAGTAAATCTCATTAAACTAGAGTAAAGGTACTGATGCTGGGACCCTGCTCATTCAAATATGAAGTTTATTACAAGATAATACTACAAAGCAAACAGAAGTTGAGCAAATAGACTAGTTTTCTAAGTATCATATATAAGTATTTGCTTTATATGAATTGTATACTATTGTTATTAAGAAAAAAAAGTTTGTGTACTGGTTTCATGGGATAGTAGGCTAAGTCTCTACCTGCGGCACTGGAATTCCATTTGGGCATTCGTTTGTGGCCTGGCTGATCCACTTCCCATCCAACTCCCAGCTTATGGTGTGGGAAAGCAGTAGAAAATGTTTCATGTCCTTGCGGTCTTGTCTTCACATGGAAGAGCCAGAAGAAGCTACAGGATTCACCTCCAGCCATTGCAGCCATTTTGAGAATAAATCAGAGAATGGAAGACCTTCCTCATCCCCCATGTCTTTCCTTCTCTCTGTAACTCTGCCTTTCAAAAAAATTTTTTTTTAATCTTAAGAAAATTCTGGCTTATTGGGGAATCCCTTGATGATGATTATGTTGATGATGATGAAGTTTCTTCTTTGGCAATTTTCAATCCTGCTCTTTCTTTTCTGATTTTCTTTAAACTACTAATTTTCCAGAATTTTTGCCCATTTCAGTAAATGCCCTTAATTACAATGGATACCATTGTTTCCATTAAATCACAACTCCAGAGGCATATTTAGACTAATTTCATATTAATTTTTATTGACCTGAATAAATCAATAATGTTTAACAAATGAGTAGGATGTTGTTAGAAGACTCAATGGCTAGATTTAAATATTTACTCATTTATTACAAATAGACATTAGCTTTTATTGCCAGAGCCTTAAGTTTCAGAGAGTAGCTAGTACATAGTAACACTATAAAATAAGCAGTATGTAGTAAGTTAACAATTTATTTCTTCTGGAAGCCATTCATGTCAAAGATAAGCAATATTGTTACGTAACCTTCTTTATTACACATTTCTGCTAATAATAACTGGTAATTTCTAGTTCGATGTTCTGTATGTAGCTAAAAATGGCATTTTCTTTAAATGTTACCATCAGGCAACATCATTTATTATTATTGGACTTTTGCAATCAAAGGTATTAAAATTCATAATTTGAACACTTTGTACCAATGGGAACAGTAACAGGTTTTTTTCTTATGATTTTGTTGGTTGTGTCTCCTACAGACATGGATGTCATTGAGTGTTCCTTGCAGTTCCCAGATGATGACTACTCTTGGTGGGACCTCTTCATGAAGATCTGTGTCTTTGTCTTTGCGTTCGTAATCCCCGTCCTCATCATCATTGTGTGCTATACCCTCATGATCCTGCGCCTGAAGAGTGTCCGGCTCCTTTCTGGATCCCGAGAGAAGGATCGTAACCTGCGCCGGATCACCAGGCTAGTTCTGGTGGTGGTGGCTGTTTTCATCATCTGTTGGACTCCCATCCACATTTTCATTCTTGTGGAGGCTCTGGGCAGCACCTCCCACAGCACCGCTGCCCTCTCCAGCTACTACTTCTGCATTGCGTTAGGCTATACCAACAGCAGCCTCAACCCCATTCTCTATGCCTTTCTTGATGAAAACTTCAAGCGGTGCTTCAGAGACTTCTGCTTTCCCATTAAGATGAGGATGGAGCGACAGAGCACCAGCAGAGTCCGAAACACAGTTCAGGATCCTGCTTACATGAGGGATGTTGACGGGATGAACAAACCAGTATGACTAGTCGTGGAGATGTCGTCTTATGTTTCTTCTGGCAGAGAAGAGTTCAACGATTTGGGTGTGACTCAGATTACAACAGCAGTGTGACATGGAGAGGAAGAATATTTAATAAACTTAGAACTCTCGTGGCTGGAAATCCTGAGATGCAGGCTGCATGAACAGGCAAATCACTAGGAACATCAGGCTGTGGGGATGGAGGACAAAAGGTGTGAGAAACATCCACTCTTCTCTAGGGCAAGAAAGCAAAGCTGACTCCCAGTCCTTTTCATGAACAAATAAATGGACCTTTAACTTCTGGGTACCTACATTTAGTCCAGCACTCATCTGATGTGGCCTTCCTATGCAATGTAATCACAAGAACTGTTTCAGAAGAAAAATAGCAGTAAAGTGTTGCTTCAGAGCTCAGTGGGCATCCAATCCAGGCATTGACAGCAACAACCTCAAGGGGAGAAAAAAGGAAAAAAAAAAAAAGACAAAATACAAAAAACACAAAAGAACCATTTTGTGTGTGTGTGTGTGTGCTGTGGACACACATTTCACATGTCTGTGTGGTTAGAGCTCTAGCCAAAGTATGACTGGGACCCACACCTGAGGTGTCAGACTTTTATGTATGATAGAACAATATTTATTATGTCATTGAAACAGGCAAAAGCTGGTTTCTGACAATTTAATTTCTTGAAAAATACAGATGCTGTCCTTTTATTTTTGCATGCTGTTCAGGTAAGTAGCCTTGTGATAAAGAATGTCCTGTTGTCAGGAAACATAATGTGGCTTAAATATCACAAACGTAGGCAATTTCATCTGTAAATAATAGTCTATGTACAAATAAGAGCCAGGTTTTCCTTCTAGGCAGGATATTTCCCTATTGTGTATTAATGATCTCAGTTGAAGCTGAGAAATTTTGCTGCAATGAAAGTCACTGTCTGGGAGTCAGTCACAATGTTATCACTTCCAGGGTCCCTGAGAACCAATTAATTCACAGAATGAGTCACACATCTGTAACTTACTCCAGGGTTGTAATCTTGGCAAAATCTAGTTTATTTGCAGCACCTCTTTGTAAATTTATAGCTGTGGCTAGATTCTATTGAAGGAACACATGATGGTTGATTTGTGTAGAACTCAAGATAGTATTTTGCCACTTTCAAGAGGAAGTACACTTGTTCAAAAAATGTGTGCTGAAGGATGATATTATGCAGGTCCTGGGGCCTGGACACACCTTTCTCAATGTTCTCTGACAGGCGTGCCTGGTGAGAAGAATGGTACATGAAGCACATTTAAGGTAATTTTGACAAAAATTCCAAAGACATTAAATTCTCACCCTTATCCTGCAACTCATGATTTTAGGGTTATTGCTTTTCTGTAATTCATCTAGGAAGAAGAAGGGGATAATTCACAGATAACACCTGCTGCTTTTCTTGTATATTACTAGGAGGTGTCATATGGAATTTAATGTAAATGTGCAGACCTATGAAACTATATCCATAACTGTATCTGTAAGCTCTGTTCACCATGCATTTTCCTGATATTTACTAGCAGGAAACAAACCTTGTGTAGAAAGTAGTACATGTTGGTCTCTATTCCAGAGTCACATGACACTGATTGCAAATGAGGAATAGTAGCGCTGGGGGATTTGTCTAATGAAAATAAAATTCCCCCTTGGATATTAAATTTCACTGAAAGTCTTGGGATTCCATGGTGTTCTTATAACTGGGGATGGGTAAAAATGGCTTCAAAGTTGATTGGCATGAATCCTGTAGTTAAAAATCTTAGTAGTACACGTGGGATGTCCCCATAGAATGCAGTTGCAGGAACAAAGTACTGAAAACATAAAATCTTTATGGAGTAGCAAAAGTTATGAGATTTTTTTAATGTATTGTTACCCAGAGATAAAATGATGGGATGTGGTTGAGCACTCTCTTTAGAGCAGAATTCATATTAACTGCTATGATTAGGTAATGATCTTTCACCTTATTATCCTGCAACTCTTCTATGTAAGTTTGCAGCCCTTGAGGACAGAGAAATATATTTATGGTTCATTCTGTGTGTTCCAAGCTTCATGATTACTGTTAACACTGACTTCCACCAAACTAAAAGAGGAGAAGGAAGATATGAATGTTATAAAGGCATTGCATTGTTTAAGAAGGAGAATCACATCTGACAAGAAAATTATCATTTAAGCAAATGTGTCTCTCTGTTAAAAATGTGTCAATGAGTGTGTGTGTCTAAGGGAGAGAAAGAGAGATAGACAGTGAACATACGCACACATGTGTGCATGTGCCACTGGGAAGCATTGGTTATATATATAGCCTTCTGTTCATCATTACCACACAATGCATCTGTCCTAGCCGTGCTACCCCTCTGAGACCTCCCATCTCTTAACGTTCCATTTGCTGACTCCAACAAGGAGGGAACTGTCTGTTGTGTCTCTTTGAGACTGGAAAAGTACATTTCTAATCTTGAGATAAACTCTGAATACAAACAAGTTTCAGAAGATGGGTCCTACCTAAGGTCAAAGAAAGTGTAGAGATGTGAATTACCTGTGAAATAGGCAGTAGCAACAATAAAACTAAAACTCTAATAAGTACAGGAAACAGCAGCAATGATAAAATCGAAACTCGAAGAGGTACAAGAGTGAAAAAACTTATAAAGTCAAGTGTAACTCTAGGCTTATTAACAAAAAAAAAAAAGAAAAGAAACATAATTTGGAAAAAAATAAAGGATTAATCAATGTGTCTTAAGTAATTGTTTCTATTCTATGATATGTCATTGAGACCTATACTTCCCAATTTGCATAAATTTTATGTATTAATAAATTTGGAGATTAAGAAACAGTGAAAAATAGATAGATGATAGGTAGGTAGATAGAAAAACAAAAGAGAGACAGGGAGGAAGAGTTTCCATTCAGTGGTTCTTTCCTCAAGTGTTATCAGGGCTAAACCAAGAGTCAGGACTTCATTGCAGTTCTTCTTGCAGGTGCCCAGGTGACGGAGCCATCACACTGCTTCCCAGTATCTGGGAGCAGGAAGCTAGACTCAAAAGTAAGAACTTGATGTGAATCCGGGTACTCCAATATAGGATTCTGGTATTTCAATAGTTTTAAACACAAGGATAAACTCCTGTCCCTATGTATCTATCACGTGGTTTGTCTAGTACTGGGATGTAATAAAACGGGATAAAGGGAATGAGTTTGGTTGACTTTAAATTAGAGCAACTAAAGTTAGAAAGCTGAAAAAGTTGTGTGTCCATTTAATGAAATGTATTTTCTAAGTAAAACTTGTTTGGATGAATCAGCATAAATATGAAAAGATCATCCAAAAAATCACGTAAACCTGCTTGCCCTAAGATAATTTTTTTCTCTGAAACAAAATTATATTCACATATTCTTTATTATAATGTATGCTATTTATATTTTGTGCTTTCAGAAAATGATCACTATCCATTGTATATATGATTCTGTGCTTTGCAATAAAATAAAAATTGCACCTGTTAAAAATAGCAACAGCAAATTACTGTGGCAAATATTCCTTCAACGACTTCAATGATATTAAACTTGACACACAAAAACCATGTTAATTGTTTCTCAAAACTGTAAGAATTGCTCTAGGGTTCCATTCAGGACAACTTTAAAGGTGTTTAAGGGAAAGGAGAACAGTACGTAAGAGTCTACATTGAAATCTAACTTTCTCAACCTGGATTCTCTTAAGAAAACTTACTTGGTCTTGTAATGCTGCCAAGACCCCAGAATCAATGTTACATCTTTTGTGTTATGTTACATATATTGTGTTGAGATGTATTTTTTTATCTTTAAAAAGTATACAAGAATCGTATTGTTAATAAAAGAATAAGAAAATCAAATTTAGCCTAGAAACACAAGTAGCCTTTTTCCTACTGTCAATAGACTATAACCACACCACTGAATCCAGGCCATCCCCATGGCTGACAAGGATGAAATTACTTAAGCCATAAGCACTGCTTCCCAGGGTGGCACTAACAGGAAGCCGGAGTTATGAGCCAGATTCCAGTATCAAACTTGGAAACTCACATCTGGGATGTGGATATCTTAACTGATATCTAAACTACTAGGTTAAATGCATACCCATATATACCCAAGGTCAACTGCTTAACACACCTGGATTTCTTGCATGAAATTTGGACATGGGTGGGATGACAGAGGTCCTTATGATGACATGGCAAATAAATTTGGTTGCAGAGTTAGCAACTGGCAGAGGTGGAAAACAGTGTGGTGATTGCATACAACATGATGGCAGTTCTGAAGACTAGTATTGATGGCAAGTTAGTGATTTTCAGCAAGTGAGACTGGGAAAAATAACAGAGTTTGAAAGGGTGAAATCTGCTTTAAATCCCAGCTTCAGGGATACCTTGTGCAAAATATTATCTTCCATGCACTTTAGCCTGCTCTGTGAGAATATTGATGAAAAGAGTATGCATCATGCAAAGTTGTTGAACTCATACAAATAGAGTATCTCAATAAGTGTTAGTAAATATTATTATTTTTAATTAGTCCCAATGCAGAACATTGGGTTCAATTACTTTGATAGTTTCTTTCCATTCTAAAATAACATGACTGAATTTCCCATGGGTTGCTTCAGACCCAGACCACCCACAATACCACAGACCCAGGTGGTATTGTGGGTGGTCAGGACACAGTTTTTGTTGTCATCTTCTTTTTACAGTAGTTGCAAAATTATTTTTGGGCCTTATTTGGTTCACAAAGGATGATCTGAGCATCCTTGATGGTTCAATACAGGCCTTGGTTATCCTGCATAATGAGAAACCTGATCCAACGGCTTGATCTTCTTTTCTAGACCTAAGTTATTCATTCATTACAGTTGGATTGCTGATTATCACTTGCTGATGCCTCCAAGAAGTTAGGGTTTGTGTGGAGGAAGGGAAAAAAAAATCACCTGGTAGCTTCCAAACCTGAAAAGGAGTCCAGAGATGCTGGTTTATTAGGCACTAGGTGTCCTCTGCAATATAACTCAGGAGCTACATATCTCAGATGAGAGGCATAGATAGATTTAATGCCCAAAAGATAGATGATGTCAGGAATCCACAGACAGATTTAATGTC